TTTCCAAGATAAAAGTTACACAAAAATATGTGGCTGATGAAGATTGATTTAAACCAATCATATTTGAGAAAAAGGGGTCTAGGATAAAGGCCTACACCTGGGGTACAGGTTAAGAAACCCCAGATAAATTTACGCATCAATATTGCGACACAGTTCTGATCAAATCACGTGCGTGCACATTACAATTTGTAACTTTTACCAAAGTTAGTTAAAACTGATGTGGGAAGTTTTTTTTTATTAATTTTAAAGTGTTAAACTACAAGAACCAAGCCCACACAAATTGTAATACTGATCACTTTTATCTAGATTTACATTATTTTATATGGCAAGCAAAACTTTTACTACGTAACTACTGTATATGGTATAGTTTACACCTAAATTCCGATTTTGATCTCTTTTATTAACTTAATCCTTTTCGCTTTTGGAGTCTTTTGTGTATCTGGAAAGTTATCTCCTCTTGCTTTGATTTCTTTCCTGTTTTTCAAGCGTTTCTTCAGTTCTATATTACTAGAATAATAATTATTCACAGATTCTAAACATCTTTTAATTCGTAACTAAATAAAATTAAATCAGTGACTAATTGAAAATGGATCAATTGAATGCAGTTAATGGAACATACTTTTGCAACAAGCATGTCATTCACCATTACTAATAATTCATCAACTTCGTCCAAGCTTGCTGGAATCTTCGTAGTAGGAAACCTACGTAATCGGCAAATTGATCTACATGGTATATCCATAACTAATTGCTGGAGATATTGACCTGGCAGAATAACGAATAATAAATAGAATGTTTGATAAAAGACGAAATAATGTATAGGAGAATACCAGGTATCTTACCAGAATGAAGGAAACCCACAACTTCTAATTGATAAGAAATTACAAAACTAAGGTTATACTTCTTGACTTTTTGAACTAGTGTGTCTCGCATAGTTTTTGGTAATTTCTTAAATCCATTGGCTAAGAATTTGGTTCTGTCTTTTCCATCTCATAATTTTCCCTCTTCACTTATCGCAAACTCTTCTGATATCCCCAACTTTCATAAAATTCCATCACACTTATGCCTGACAAGCTTTCGAACTTTTGAATCTTTTCTTCCCTTGTTTTTTTGTTACCCTGAAGCACGAGAGCAACCTTCACTACTAAAAAGAATTTCATTAAAAAAATTTTCTTTATATTCAATATGCTTGCTTAAGCACATTTATATATAATGTACACTAACCGAATAAATTCTGCATCTAATACATCTAAAAAACAATTATCTACTATTATGCTCCAGAGGTTCGTCTTGAACCAATCCTCTAAGTGAGGATTAAAAAGATCCTGAGGCCTAAGTTCATACCGTAAAAGTCTAGTAATGACAAGTTTTAGTTCAAATAATATTGAAGATGCACAAAAATTTTATTAATACTTACAAATGAGAAAAAACTTCATGAACATAGTAATAGTCATAATTTCTCCGTGGGTTATAAGAAGATAAATATATATCGATGCTGATTACCCTACGCAGATCTTGAGAATTATTCTAAAGGACACAAATATAACATAATGGTTTATATACATTGCTATACATTAGCGGTAGTAATTGATTATACTCACTTGTCGGTAGAGTAAAAGAAAATCTAGCAAAGTGTCATCTACTTGCAGTTCTGAAGGAATATTACATTCTCCGATATGTTGCTGATCAAGTTCACTGAAAAGATTCATGATCGTTTCATCACTTGTATCGAATATAAAACTGTGTAGTTAGCTAAAAGCATAACTTTATAGTTAGATTGCTATTATAACAGACCCTATGTATGCTTTAAATGTCTACCTTTTATGATTCAAATTTATTGTATATTCATATAGAATATCTTCAACGAACTTTCTAGAAGGCAATTTCCATTTGTTCTCTGGACGCAATTTGCGATACTTTGTTGAATATTCAGCCATCATTTTGTTCTTTTATTGCAAAGTATTATTAGAATAGTTAGAATACAAACAATACAAATAATTATTAATACTACTACCTGAAGTTTTTTTGCAATCGCTAGCTTGTTTCGTTTAATTTCCTCCATCTTTATTCTATTATTACACCCACTGAAATCCTCATCATCATGATTATCATCAGAACTTTCTTCATCATTTTGATCAGGTTCTTCACTATCGCTGACATTATCCTAGATGTTGAGAAAGTAAATATATTATGCACAATAGAAGAAATATAACCTTGATTTTTTTAAATATTCACGGCAATTTCTGTAGTCTCGCCAGAAGTCTCACCAGAGTCAACAAATTTATTAAATGAGTTATTAAACGTTTTGGTCTGTATCGTATTACAAAAAAATGATTTAGCAAATTATAATATTAGAATTAGTCCTATACAGAGAATATGTATATAGAAAGTATGAATGGCCTTCTAACTTAAAAATACTAATAATATTTACCTTCACATATTCATCGAATATAACAGTACGGATCTGTGTACACATGCGAAAGATGAGAAGAATGGGCGGTACATTAAAGAAATGATGGGAAATACCTTATTTTTCAGTATACATGAACGTTCAGGTTTATTCTATAATATAATAAGTTTGGTCATTATTTTTGAGTAATGCGTTGTTTACTTGATTTATTATATACCTTTCCCAGTCCACCATCTCCCTCGGTATTGTCTCCAATTTCAAAATCTATTTGATGTAAAAAAATCAACTGAGCCAACAAAGAAAAATAATGAGGAGCTATAAATTTAACAATAAAATACCTGATCGTAGTCTCCTAAGATTGTCTCTCTTGCTGAGAACTAAAACATCACTCGCTTCATCTTGTACTATATTAATTTGGTCGATAATTCTTTCGGTACTTTTCGTAGCCTTTTCATTAAGAGATATTTGAAGCTAAAATTCTCCAATCTTGAAAGAACGGGACTCATTCTAAAAGCCAAAGAAATAGTTAGTTATTGGAATTTATTGAGTTTGTCTAGTACTTATTTTTAAGCGTCCAAAAATAATCCAGAGGTACACCTTCTGCCTTGACGGAGGTTTTTCAGCTTCAACCTAACACGAGTGCCTACCACCTCGATGGCAGGGTTCTTCAGCCTCAACTGATACTCCTTCCTCCTTCCTCTAGATGATAATATTGAATAATAATAAAAAAATACTTAACTGTTGATTCGTAAGTTAACAGTGCCTGTTCAGCCTTTTTTCTTTTTTCTTCTGACATTTCTTTATTATCCTTGATACTATTCAAAAGAATTTTATACTTATGATGTGCTTCAGAACGGTCGTCTAAACTCTTCACTGAGTCAAGATACTTTAGGAAGTTCAAGAGGCTCCAATCTTCAGACTGATCAAAAAACAACATCGCTATAAAATTTCGTTTCGAATACTTTGCAGAAGACATTTTTTTATTATATCGTGTGAGGGTCACAACCCTATTTTTATATCATATATATTACATAATTTACTGATCCAAAGTCACATTATTCTGATCATTACCAATAGTAACAGTTTTTTGTAAAGAAAAAAATTTTTGATTCCAAATGCTCAGAGTGGGCAAAATTTTATTGATTAACTTATCAGAAAAATGCTAGAGAAGCAAATGAAAATGTATGATGCTATCAAAGAGGGAGAGAGTACGCGGATCCTAGGCCATTTAATGCAAGTCCCAGCATCAAGTTATTTATTTGCTCTCACATTTTCGGAGAATATTGTATCTATAATTAACAAAATTATTTACGCCTATCTATTTTTCTAACTATACCCCATAATCTTTCTCTACATTAGAATTCCAAAATAAATTATACCACTTATATCTACAGAATTTTTGTCTATCCCACCCACAGATTATGTAAAAGATCATTTTCAGCAAGAGAACTTCCTTGAGATGAAATAATTTCAAATCTGTATGAAGAATTCTGAGATTAGCAACGTGGTAAAAGAAATAAAACAAGTTGAGGCTTCTGATTCACATTTACTGCTATACTTCATTTTCACAACATTTCATTCCTTCTCACATTCAAGAAATTTGTTAGTTAATGCGTTAATTATGCCAAGCATCAAGAATTCAGATGCTATTGCTGAAAAATTTTATTCAATATATTGCGTACTGTATCTCAGTATATGACAAAAATCTGGTGACAGAAATTAATACTGCGCTGATTAGGCACATGACAATGATCACGATTTTCTCAGCGAATATCAAATGAGCGGAAAGAATCAAGAAAAGTAATATATCTGCTTTATTTTTAAGCATCTATAGAGTCAAGGAAAATGATTAGCATTGTGATAGCGATTTTCTAGAATCAAGTCAAGAAATCAAACAAACTAATTTTGCTATTACTTTACAGTTTGATTGATTGTTGATATTGTTGAGATTAATAATGGTAAGTTTGAATATTTGTTTTGATCCTTTTTTGCTTTACTTGCACAAGGTGAATAAAAGGATTCACTAAATAAAGCTTAACCTTTTTATAAGATTTGTAGTGCATTTAAGGATCGATTTTTAGAATAAATCTTTGAGAAAATTACGTTATTATGATTCATCATGAAATTAGATCAATGGATACTCCTTAAAATTATAATAGACACTGGGATCATATTCCTGGATCAACAAGGAGATCTTTTTTATTATTAATACATATAAAAACTTGAGTATATGTGGGAAGTTTCGAGAATAAATAATATAGTGGTAATGACTTGTTCTCATAATATATAGTAACTTTTTTTAAATGATACTGCGCTTTTATCAAGTATCAATTTACGGATGAAAAACTGATTAAGAAATATTAGCATACAAACATATCATACACTCTTTTCAACACATACTAGATATGACATATAAATATATTGTGTTTAATGTGCCTTAGCTTTATTGATTATAAATAAAAAAAATACATATTTTTGTTTACACTGCAGAATAATATCTAGTACAACAATGCCATCATGTAGCTATGATTGCAAACTTAAATTTATTGCTTGAAGAGTTACAGCTAAAACAATATTCTATTCCATACCATTTGTTATGTAATCCATAATTCCTATGTTTTCATCACAAATAGAATATGGTGAGCTCCATGGTTGAGGTGATGCAAAATTATAATTATCAATCCCTCTGAAACTATTTCAGAATTTCAGGTATGTGAAATATTCTAAAACAGACTTGATAATTAATTCTAGATCGGGTTTGCTTTGAAAGTAATAGGCCTTTTTTCTTCATATTGTTCAGGAAAAGATAAATAGGATGCTTTGTTTTCTGGCTTCAAATTTATGAGAAAGCTGGCTTCTGATACATGTGTTTCTGATAATTGCCATGGATCATACCCAGTTTCTTTTTTATATTTTTTGTATAAGCTGGACTAAATCTTATCCGTCAAAATGCATGGTAAACCAGTTAATTTGGCAAGCCAATCCAGATACTTGGAGGTTAATACTTTATCGAACTTGCTCATATTGTCTTTTTATATGATTACAGATCAATTTAAATTCCTGGATAGAAAGCTGTCTACTATTTCATATCATATTTCCAAAAAATAATTAGATCATCTTTTGAAGTATCTATGATATAAGAAAGGGTAATGAAACTATACAGTTATCTCAATTTCATGCTGTTCACATTTAATAAAGTAAGATCTGGATTTATACATATCTTTTATACTTTCCTCGTCATTATGATCTAAACTGCATAATGGGCATGATGTCTCATCAGTAATACCATAATAATCAAAATTTTCACTACTAAATTCTCTATATAAAGCAGGATATTGATCTAATATTTTATTGCGAAAATAGAAATGATCATAGAGTGGACTCTTGGATTGAGGTGAAGATAATATATTTGCTGTTGTACTTACCTTAACCTTAATTTGATCGTTTCCTGAGAGAACAGTTTTTAAAGTCATATGACTCTGATATTCGTTAGTAAACTTTTTTACTTGATTTATGACAATTTGAATTTGTGCATTAATTAGTTTCAAAATTTCAGTTGCGCTATATAAGATCAGCTTAATTTTATTTATTCCAATCCCATTTTTTTCAAATAACATGAGATGTTTTCTGACCCTATGAGTTTTTTTGCGTAAGTTAGCTTGTGTGATTTTAGTAGGAAGAAATAGTTTCATTTTCTTGTAAATCATTGATCTTATCATTTTATCCTTAATTCTATCATCAGCCGTAAGAGCACCTACCTTGCTCTCAAATTTAAAGGAATAATTGTGCCAATCTAATATTTTCTGCTGATTGGATTTTATTGCTATTTCAAATAAATAAGATAAGTACTAGGCAGAACCTGAAATCATATTCTCTAAACTAACACAAGAGCTAATGATTTTAATATTATCTTATCCATCTGGAATCTCTTCAGATGATATGGGTATACATAATTCATGTATTAGGCCTTGTTCTACAATTTGATTTTTATCAAGTGATTTCTCTTGAATCATATTATCATCTTGCTTCACAAATAGAAGATCTGGTTCACCTGAAATCATATGATTCTGATTATTCCCTGAGGGAATGGTTTTTTCAAACTCTCTCAAAATTTCTGAAATTACCTGATCATCTTTTTCAGAGTTGTATGATGGATTGGCAACTATCAATTCACGTTGAAATTTCTCCTCTCATTTTCTCTGCCTTATCTCATTACTAATGATTTTCTTATGAGTCTCAAGCAAGAAACTATTTATATCTTTCTCTTCCAACGATTTGCCGTTAACCATTAAGGCACTTTGTAAGCGCTTTACAGAGTTGGCAGATATTGTCACCACCAGTTCTTGTTTATTATAGCAAATCTCTTCAGGAGAATTATCTGTTTTCACATTTACCAATAGTTTCTCATGATACTCTGTAACTGAATTAAAATTAGATGTACTATTGTCAAAAAGATTATCATTATACAACTGCTCTTTCACTAGTAAGAAAGCCTGTTCTATTATCACAAGTCTGATCTCAAGCTCCTTATTTTTTTGTTCCAGTTCCTCAACTTTAACATCACGTCTAGTATTCTCCTCCACAATCTGCTTTAAAAGTTCAGCTTTTTCTGTTTCAAGCTTGGCATTCTTAACCTCAAATTCAATGATATGCTGTTTCAATACTTCAAGCTCAGATGACATGATTGATAAATTTTATACAAGAAGTGAAATATTCAAAAGTTAGTTAGTATATATACATAGAGACTGTGACATTTTATCAAGAGTAATTTATAAAGTCACCAGATTTCTGGACTGCGCGATCTCAGAAAAATGCTAAGAAAAAATTTTTCAGTATTATTTACTTTTAGATCACTGTTCTGGACTATCAACAGATCTTGACATTAAGGTGAAAATGATACCTTGAGTTAGTGTTTGTCTGTTTATAGCTATAATGGGTGATCAGTACCAGAGTCAACTGTTATAGATATGTTAGAATTAATCCCTGGTAAAACTGAGTTCTAATATTAGCAACTGGAAACTGTGTTGATATTAGCTCTACCACTTGCTCTATCTCAGTTCAAATATCATTTAGATTCCAGTAATTCTTAACATAGGTATTTGGATTAAATGAAATAAGCTGATCTACAGCTTCTTTGCTAATATTATTACACCCTTCCAAATTAAGATACTTTAAATTAAATTTCTTTAATAGTTATATCAGTAATTTTACAAAAGCTAAGGTTGAGATGCTGGAGTCTTGAGCAAGAACGAATAATATTACAAATTGATGTTTCAGAAAACTCTGTACATCTAGAAATATTTAGATATTCTAATCTATAGCATGAATTTGCGATTTTTCATTGATCTAGATTATATACTTCTTGAGTACGAAAGCTCCTAAAGTCACACTGATTATTGCACAAATTGAGATACTTCAGATTCAGGTATAAATTCACTATCAGTTCTAATGCTCTATTACTAAATCCTATGCTATTTATGAAACTTAAATGGGTTATATTTGGGTATGAATATACAATGCTTATGATTTTTTTATCTGAAAGTGAATAGTAATATAAAATTTCAAGATGAGATACATTAGAGCAATAAACTGGTATTTGCTTCCTACATACTAGCTTTATGAATTTTTTTAATCGAGAGAGTTCTTTTACATGTTTTATCTTTATGAATTTATTTAATCGAGAGTGATCCTTTGCATAGTAATTATAATTATTTGGAAGAGATTGTTCAGGATATAAGTCTTTTCCCTTTAGTTCAATACATTTTCATAGAATAGGAGCACTGTATCTGTATCACAATCGAGAAACAAATAGGATGGGATAGAGTAACTTATCTATCAATAAGAAATATAAAATCTGTTCTAATAGTTCTGGTAAATTTATAACACCTAAATGCGTCATAAATAATATATACTGTATCTTTAATAAAAAATAAAATTATGTGATTACTGTTCTGGGCTAAGACTTTCCAGTATCTC